TTTGCTTCACAGACAGATGTCTGGAGCAAGCTCATGCCCAGGAAATCAGATGTAAACACACTGCTCTCTGCCAAAAGAAGAGTTTGCCTTCATTTATATCAATATTTGAATTTAAAGACAAACCTGTTTTCTCCTACCTTTCTGGGTTGCAGCTTTCTGTATACCTCCATAATGATATGATAATCTGCTCACAAATATGTGCAAGAACTGCATTATTCCTTTTAAGTTTATTTCAAAACTGAGCTTATAAAGGTTTACTTTCAAGTCTTACCGTTGCTGCAGTAACAAATGATACTTTTCCTTGAAAAATAGTCCTGACTGAAAGAAATGTTTAGCAACCCTTTTGTAATTCACAAGCCGTATGTGACAAGTCACATTCATTTCAATTTTCAAGTTAACTGATTGTAAATCACTTCAGTTTTTTAAACAAATTTGCTGTAAGAATATAAAATTATTTCTAGCAAAGTTATATTAATCACCTTACATTTAACTGCTTCAAATCAATTTCAGACAAATAATTTTTTTTTCCTGTCAAGAACTTCCTGAGTTGCAAAGAAATCAAGTAAGAGGAAAAAAGTGCTGTTTTTTTCAAATAGTCTGTAAATCTGTTGCCAATTTCCACAGCCCATGAGCCTCTCCAGAATCTCTTACCAACTTAAGCTACATGAATTTAAAAGCATATCCTACTGTTCTCTTAATAACACTGTTGATTTTTGAATACCTTAAGCAGGATTTTCTTAATAGAGTGAAATAAACTGCTTTCATTGAAAGTAACATTTTGAACAAGAAGGTGTTACCGTAAAAATTAAGTAGCAACAAGCATACTGAGGAATTATTTAGGAATTATTCCAAGTCACATAAAAAAGCCCCAAAAAAATATTCATCTGCTTTGTTTTTCAAATAGTCACACTGCACGGTTCCTGCACTAAAGGGACAATAGCTGTAGTGTAGCTACATTTTAACTAAAACACAAGACAGAAGCTGAAGTACTGATTATTAGTCTAACAAGGTTTATTTCTAATACAGAGTGTCCTGTCAAACTGCGTTAGAAACAGTGCCCAGAGAGCACACAGCAAACACAAAAATATGACTTCTATCTCCTAACCTGTGTGACACCAAGCACATAACGCTGAGAAGGTATGAGCACTGCAAAATGTGTGCTTGGACTTTCATTACGTTTTTTCTCCAACCATGCAGTGCCCACTCCCAGAGGCAGAATCCCATGTCAGGTGGGCATTTGTTGTGACCCCCTGCAAATATCCTTGTTCTGATGCCTTTAAGGAAGTGTGTCCTTCAGCCTCCATCTCTGAGCTCCTCTGCCAAGTAACGCTCATTGCTGTGGCAGCTGCACATTCACAGAGTTAGCACCGTGTTATCATCATGGTGCTGTTTCTAACCAGTGGTCAGAAATTATTCTATGAAGCAAATGTAAATGCCTCTTAGAGTAACCAGGTTGAGAAATAGTACTGTTCTCCCTTATGATTGCTTATGGTGATATTCAAGTACTATTTATGCTTCATACTTGGAGTTATAATGTCCCATGCTTAGCCCTCCTATCCTGTTTTTCGTGGTTTATAGGTCCATAATCAATGTGAAATCGTTCCACAGTCATGCTAAGAATCTCAGTGATGTGATCATTTTGCCTTTGCAATAATATTGTCATGACAAGAAGAAAACAAAAAAAAAATTATAATCGATTGAATGCATTTAAGTAAAGAAAAAAAAATATTTTCTGTATTTTAGCTCAAACCAGGAAATGCATAGTTTTATCATTCTTGGTATACTCCAAGAAGTATCTTCCAAGTTGGACAAGGTGAAGCAGAAGAGCAAAAGACCAACCAGAGGGATAAGTATTTCCCTTTCCTTCAGGCACTACTCATTCACCCCTCTATGCTGACACTTCCAATATTTCCCTTTTCAAATTATTTAGTCCCATCCTTCTGACTGTCCTGTTTATCAGACAATGAGAAAAGTTTCAATTCCTCACAAATTATTATAAATTATAAACTATAGCACCACCAGCTTCGGAAAGTGATTCATCGTGTTTCAGCAACGGTGAGAAGGGTTTTTCCCATACAGACAGTCACACTTATAGAAATGGAACCTTCAGAAAATCTTCTTCCTGAAGGTTTGACTGCTTCAAGGACAGTGGGAGTGAAAATGCCATAAGCAAGGGTATTCATCGTAGAGAACTATCTAATATTCCAAGGCATTCGTTTCTATCATCAATCTACTAGTAGATAGTGTAGACAAAGATAGACTCAATGTGTAAAGAAGACATAAAAACTATATCATTATGAAACCTGAATTCAATTTTAGTCAAAGTCCTTTATTAAATAGATTATCATCAGGTGTGTCATTCATCTAAGCCTCTGTCCTATGCTTCTCTATTGTAGTAAATGTTTTGAGTTGGCAGAGTCACAAATTCTGTTTGCTATTCACACCACATTGTCCTGTGTTTTATAACATCTCACCAGACATTCTTCTGTTTGGACCACGATTCAAATATAGGCATCACTTACAAGCTACCAGCAAATAGGGAAGAAAAATGATGTACATTTTGCGAGATTTTCTATTGGTTTTGTTTTTAAATTCTATGGAAATAGATGTAAACAGACTATTTCTAGGGGGAGAAAAAAGAATTTTTTTGCTAATCATAAGACCTACTATATAGTCTTTCAAGAGAAAATTGTCCTGTTGTTTACAAAAAGGAGAGAACAGATGCTGTCCCCTATCCTTTTCATTCCAGGGAAGGTGGGCAACACCAAGCTGAGCTAGACAATAGTATTTAGGAGATGACAAGAAGAATGGGGTATTACACAGTTAAAGGAAATAAGATCTTTGAAAAAATGAAGCCCTTTTTGGTGGTTGCCTGAAATATTTGCATGGTCTTGACAATGTCTTGTGCAGAAATGGTCATCCCATGTTGCACACAATTTGCAGGAGAACAGCATTAACACTGCAAGTGACCATCACAGCCAGAAAACATGACCTGAGGGCTGGATGTATTACATCTGATAGCACCAGCAAACAGCAGAATCTTGTCTGAGCAACCTGATGTCAGTAATCCATTAATCTGATAGCCTGTATTGATTCTACTCCTTCCATATTTCTGTCCTCACTAAACAAAATTTGCCAAGATACTGAGAGTAAAAAAAGAAAAAAAAAAAAAAGAGTGATTTTATCACATCAATCATTTGAGCAAAAGCATTCCAGCATTCTGTTATCTTTCACAGATATATTTAAGATTCCCTTCACTGGGATACCCACAGGCCACAAAAACTGCTTGCAGAGTTTTGTATCAGTTCAAAGCATATACACATTTGGGTATGCACCTCTAAATGTCACAAATAAAAAAGGATAAAAGCAAAAGTCCTTTATTCTCTACCACGGTTTCAAACTGTGTGTTCCTTGTCATTCTCTTGCTGTGAAAAATTATGAGACAAGACCAAATTTAAAGAGTTTCTTTAAAAGAAGTATACTGCAGTTTTCTGCAACAGTTAAATCCAGAGAGGTGGGTTGAAGATAACAAAGATCCTAGAAAGGGTTGGTTTATTTATCAGAGAAGAACTTGGTAGGGGGAAGTTACAACAGTTCCATTGAACTACCCAAAATCTTATGGTAAGCAGGGAGACAGAGACAGGTAAGCATCCTTTGAGATGACCTAGGGTATCCCATCACCCGCTACATGTGTCCCTTCAGAGGAACATCAGACTCCTGCAGATCTCTTACCTCTGACATCCTCGTGGAGGAAGCTTTACACAGAACACACGACCCATAGTCAGGAGATGGAAATGACTGCTGCCTGTCCATGCATGCAGGATCACTTCAGATACCAATTTAGGTGACTTAGTGCTTCCCCCACCTCACCTTCCTCATTATATTCAGAGACCAGATACTATTTTTTCCACTCACACAGTATTGCCCTGACAAAAGAGTATTTTCATATATTTCCTTGCATTACTTAGCCTTTAGAAAATGACAAGTGAAAGAGCCACAAGTACTATTCACATGTGACTGTAATCAGCCAGGAGTTACTACAACCAAATTTTGCTGAGTTTGTCTCATTTGGACGGGCTGCTGGACAGGAAATAAATGCCTGGAAAATTTTTAAATCCTCTAAATCAGTGATTTCCAAACTAGAAGTCCAGTCCCTGAGTATAGCCTCAAACTTCTGAGAAATCAATTTCCTCTCATCATTGAACTAACATCATGTTAATACAATATTCCTACTTTGCAATCAAGATTGTGACTGGAAAGTATTTAGGAACAAACATCCACACAGATGATGCAAGTGCAATATCAACCATTCCAACAATATTCTTGGAAAAATTTAGAATACAAAGATTTCTTGGTCCTGTGTCTGTGTACAGGTGATTTATCTCATGTATTAGTATCTAAAAGGTTTGTTCACCTTATTGACTTTCACTTTGTCCAAGTTTTGATTTGTAAGTTCAAGTTATGCCATTCAGAAGCTAGAACATCCTTTCTGGCTTTGGAAAGTGCACAGAGATTATCTTTGGAAAGGTGAACAAAAATTAAAAGGAACAGACTAGATACAATTTGTAATTAAATCAGAGCAGTTCTGCTTATCTGAATTCATTTGAAAGTTAAATACTGTTTCCCTCTAACTGGAAGTTCTGTGTTTTCTGCCCATGCACCCTGAAACACGCTGTGGGGCAAAAGTGTACGTGACAAACTTCTTTTCTTTCCTGCTGATTTCTTTATACAATACCAGCATTCACAGACCCTAAAATTTTCTAGTATAATGTCAGTCACAGACATGTGCTACATAGGGAGGAAGTACCTCTCCTGGAATTGCTTCCCCAGGACTTTGTGGCAGATTCAGTGAGTCCAAAGGCTTTTTACTTTTATAAAGTCTGCACTGCAGGGCCTGAAATACATTGTGTTCAAAAACTTCTGGAGACATCACCTCAGAGGGAGCACAAAGAATTTTAACCCCCAGTGCATCTAACCCCACTCCAGAGTTTTTACTGTACCTCTGTGTGAGAGCTTCTCCAGGATGATCTTCAGATGCTGCAGAACAGGGGGTGAAATGTCATATTTATAGATGTCTATTGCTGGCACTCGCTGACATCTCCCAAATATTCCATCTGCAGGAGAGAGAAAAAGAAAAGGAAAAATACACATTTTGTTTTCTGAGAGGAAGAACAGTGTGATGAGATGCGCATTTCCAATGGATCCTAATTATATGCTGAAGGAACCTGTTAAAAGACACTTTAAAAAGCTATCAAAGGACTACTGAAGTCATGAGACAGGATATTTTCTATCAAAATAAATACTGGAAAGAATATTAGTTGTAGGAATATTCTATTGTACAAGTTATGCATACAGTTTATTTTATAAAGTATTTTCAGACTTTTGCTTCTCAACTCTCTAGATGTAAGAATCCTTTACTGACAATTCAGTGGGAAAAAAAAAACTTAATGTTCAATGCCTACTATGTTGCAGATGAAAAGTGCAGCATCCAGAAATATAAATATTAATTTGCAGAAACTATGAGGATTTGCTGAAACATTTTTAATGCAGGAGTTGTGTGTTAGGCATTGGTAAATGAGAACTGAATCCATAATGGCTAGTAAAGGCTCATTTCAAGAAGTACCCTCTAATGAATGCAATAAAAGAAAGCTGCTCACAGAACAATGAGATATTAATGTGGCCTAATTTATTTAGCTCCATTCCATTTGTCTGAAATGACAGACTCTTCTCATCAATGTCTTTTCAAATCACACCTTCTAATTAATTTAGCTTCTTATTAGTCTTTATTTAGAGAATTGTTCATTTTGAGGCAAGCTTCCTGTGTATGTGTGGGAGGAACAGGGAGTTCAAACATTCAAATTACCTTTCTCTCTTTCATACAAAAGCCTAATTCAGAGCCTAGGTGCTTCACATACAATCTGACCATCTGCAATTCTGGGTTTCTGAGAAAGAAAGTGGTTTCATTTATTGTTCAAAATAGTTCTCTTCTATATAGTGATCCAAAGGAAGCAATTTAAATGCAACAAGTTTAATTAGCAAAATATTCTACTGCAATCCTAGTTTTAACACAGTAATTACTTCTGCTCTGATATTACATCTACGCTCCAAAAGGAGAGCTACACCAGATTAGCAGAAAATAAGGGTAAGCATTAATTTGCAAGCGTCCATTACTTTCTGTGCTACTTCACAGAGCTAAAGGACTACAAATGGGAACTACTGGCCCAGCTGTTCACTAAACACAAATAATGGCATAAAAGAAAATAAACCAAACCAGGATGCAGAAAAAGGGCATTATTAGCCCTCACAGTTATACACAAATACCTCATTGAAATTAGCCAACTTTTTCTTTCTTTGCCTTTCCAATCCTCCTGTCACTTATAACTGCCAAATTAAGTTAATCCAAATTAAAAACCTACATCTGAGTCTAATTTTGCTATTGGAAACTAAGTTTAATTTGGAAACCACATAGGCAGATATGGTTGGGTTTCTGCCATATAATGTAAAAAGCAGCCTAACAGCAGATTAAAAAACCCTCTTTTTAAAAATCTGTTGCAGTTGGAAATAAGCAAAGTGTATAAATATCAGTCACTTGTAAATGGATGGATAACAGGAATAAATAAGGTTCTGACTCAGAAAGGAATAGAAGAACATTTCAGTGTTAGGAACAAGATTGTTCAAAATAAAACAGCTTGACATAGAGAGCTCCAGTTTGGAATACCACCATTACTGGCTTAGGAAAAAATCTATGTTTATATAAACAAGTAATATTACATAATTTTTTGAGATAATGTACCTTAAAAATAATTATAATCTTATTTTAGAGTCCAGAAAAGCATACACATGAAGTACAAATTAGAGTTTTTTGTATTAAGTATCATTTAAGGGTATCTCCATGGATGCAAAAGCTAATTCACTCACAAACTCTAAAAGAGACCAGACCCTTTTTCCTAAGCTTAGAGTTTTCAGAAACCTGTAGCCTACTTCCTTTGAATAGAACAAAACCTATTTGAATTCTAAAATTAACAATTAGCACATGAGTCTGAGCTGCATTATACAATCTATCCAAAAACACTGGGACTGCTTAGGGAGAAACTGCAAGTTACTTTGGCTTTTGTACTTGAAATATGGGCATAATGAGCTCTGAAGAGGCTGCAACCACAAATAGTGCTCGGCTCTGCTAAATGCAGCATGAGGAGAGTGGAGCAGAGCGATGCCCCCAAGGAGGGGTTGGCAAATACCAGCTCTTAAATACAGAGGATCTTTATACTGGGGATTACAGTTGAACCGGAGTCATGCAAATAGTACATTTCATAGTTCAGCTGCTTTTTCTAAAAAAGTAGGAATTTTCCTAGGTTTTTCTATTTGCTTGGGTTGGTTTTACGGTTGGGGTCATTTTGTTTGGTTTTGGTTTGTGTTTTTTTTTTTTTTAATTATTACATTATTAAGGTTTCTGAGGCAAGATTTAAGACTGAAAAAGTTAAATTGAGGTTGAGCATTCAATTTTCAGGGCACCTTTTAAATAAACTTTCTTGAAATTACACAGATTGCAGCAGGGACTGGGGAAAGGCAAGGAAGACCCATTTTACCAAGAAAAATTTGTAAAAGGTGCCCTTCTTTACCTTTCAAGAAATCTCTTTGGCATGACGTGGGCCAAAATTGGAAATGGTTATGGCCCACCATGAACCCCATTTTTACTTAAATTACAGCTCATGTTGCAGAACTGTCCATCTTAGTCTGCTCTGAGCTATCCCAATCTCAGTGTGATATTTACTGTGAGTCAATACGTGGTGCATCTTTCTGGACCAGCTGTGCCCACCTCGGGCAGGGTGTGATGTGGGGCTGTTGAAAATGGAAAAGCTCCCAGACTTTACGGTAAGTGTAACAGGGCAGAGGAAGTTCAAAGCATGAATGATGTTTTAATAATGCCATGCTCTGTCTGCCTATAGCTGTTGAGAGTGTGTTCATACTGAACCTTCATTAAAACTGTGTTCTGAGAAGGAATGTGCTGTGCAAAGGACATCTGCTCTTTACACACGCCCAGAACGAGGGAAGGTTGAGACAACCGATCAATACACACATATGGTTGCTGTTAAAGTGCTATCATTTGCTGTTAGCAAAAAGTAGTGCCTGAAATTTCCATAATAATGTCTTATAAGTTATACTTAGACCTGGAAACATCTGTGCTAACAGCATGCTAATGTTGACTTTTAGACAGCTTCTGCATTTGTTTCCAAAGAAGAGACTAAAACAGAAGAATAATATACCCATATACCCAAGGAGGCAGTGAGATACTTCTTTATCTGTTTGGCTGTTTTGGTTTAACATTTGAGAAGAAATGCAAGCATAAAATTGTACAAACTTTTATTTAAAATCTTGAATTTGGACAAATATTTATATATTACAAAGTTAGATGCTAAGATTAAAATACATAAATTTACTTAACTCAGGTGTCCAGTAAGACCTCAAATAGTAGCAGACAAACCTCTTTTATTAAAGACAACACCCTGGAGCATAGTAGATGTATTTACATTGAGTATTTATCAAATTCTAGTGAAAAAAATTACAACTGATAGATTAAACCATGAGCAAGTCAAAACACAAGTTCTGGAATTGTGATTATTGAGAAAGGTTTAGAAAAGAACAGAAAACGCCCACATTATTCATTATTAATGCTCATTCTTATTAATTAGTGCATATTTATGACCTCTATTACCTGCTGAGGAAGTACCACATTGCATTCATGACTGACATCTAGGTACAGAATTATGTAAAACCTATAGTTTGAAACAGTTTTGAAGAGTTGGTTGGGCCAGCATTTTTACTTGGTAAGGCAGACAGGCATCATGTGCTTAACAGGTAATAAAAAATCTTTAGAAGCTTGCATTGAATGACAACCTTCACCTTGAAGGCAACACTATTTGTGGGCAGCTGATTCATTAAATTCTTTTTAGGTAGTGTTTCCTTCAAAAAAAAAAAAAATCAGTGTATAATAAGCTGTCCTTAGCAAAAGAAACATATCCTATCTTGGAACCACTAAGTATGGCTAATCTGATGACTGAAACTAAGATGCATCCAAGACTTGGCACAGTTTTGAATAATACCAGCAAAAAAAGAATGAGTTCTTGTTGATCATATTTTGGTACTGAGCAAAGCTATGCAGACAGGTAAGGATGCTAGAGTTTGTCTGCATGGTGCTGAAAGCTTGATATATGTAAATTAAAAGATTGTGTTATGTAGTTATTAATTATTTAGATCTACATGCAGTGAAATTTTCACATGGCACTGACAAGTGACCTTTGCAAAGGAGCCTTCAAGCAGATGCTTTGAAGCACCTGGTTCTTCTGCTCCTCAAACTTTGTGCAGCAGCCAGAAAAGAGGCAGCTCTCCACACAGCAACAGTACCCACACATAGGGGCCAACCAACACTTCAGCTTCCTTCCCCTTACTGCCTCACAATTGTTAAAAAATTATAAAGTAGAGCTGTGCATAAAACTAAGTTTTGCCCCATGGTGCATCCATTGTGCTTTGCTCCTGAGTCATGATATAAAACAGAAAATCCACAGAGCCAATAGTGTGTCAAATGGTAACTTCTCCCACCTTTTCCTGCATCATTTGTGCTCTTGCAGTTAACCAGAGAACTTCCTCTAATGTTTCTGCAGAATTTTCAATGGGCATCATTCTTCAGCAACTTAACCTTCGGTAAGAAAAGAATTCTTTCTTCTCACTGAATATGGACATCACTTCACACTCCTTCCCCCAGCTAGTGGTTTAAGGTACTGTAAGATCCAAGAGTAGCCCAGGACTAATGAAAAGGTCAGTGCTTATAAGGCACAGTTAGAGCCTGAGTTGCCTACTGGAGAGATTAAATCCTTTTCCAATGGGAAGCATAATATTTGCATCTCAAAAGTCCATTGATGCTGGACTTCAAGGTCACAGACTCTAAATGTTTTAGGAAGTATGAAGGAGACAGTTACAGTATTTTACTCTTCTCTCCCTGCTATTTCTCATAGTATGGCATTTGTTTTCAAAATCTTTTTTCAAAAATTAAAAAAAAAAAGAATTAAATGTTACTGTTCCTTGGAGACATTAAGTCGTTTGCAAGGAAGCTTATTAC